AGCATTATGTTAGTTCTGTATAGGATAGTTATCAGCCACCAATAATTATATTAAGTTATCGATCGTGTTGCCTTTAAAAAATAAAGAGCTAAAGTAAAACGGACATTGCAATTCCTATTATACATACACTTTTGTTTAATGCAATTCTACAAAATGCAAAAATCATCATCATCTTTGCATTTGTCTCATACAATACACATCCATTGTTGGTCTTGCTGAACTATATGGTGCCTGAACGAAATCCAGCACTCTTTGCCCCTACAATGCTCTACCGCGGGTCGCCCCATTCCTTTTTTCCTCTTTACTATCAAGTTGGGATCAAGTCAACCACATGAATTCTCTTTTTCCATTCTTTCCTGTTACAAACCATGTTTCTTACCCTATTTATTTTTTTAAAATCATTTTTAATTGCCACCCAATTTGTTGCTTACTTTCTAGGCAACAACCCTTCATTTCCTAACCAGTGCATCTTCCACTCTACATTTGTTTATGACCCTGTTTTTTTTTTTTTTGTCCCCCCCCCCCCCCCCAAATTCCTAGGTCCAATCATATATCGTACCATCCTCAATTCCGCTATATGAATGTGTTGTTCTTGTTTCTTTTTCAACACCCACCCCTCCTGAAATTACAAAAAAAAAAAAAAAAAAAATCTATTATTGCCCCCCCTTACAAATTCCTAGGTCCAATCATCCATCGTACCATCCTCAATTCCGTTACATGAATGCGTTGTTCTTGTTTCTTTTTCAACGCCCAACAGTTTGCTCCATACAACATAGCTGACCTAATAACCGAACGTCATATGCAATAGATCCTCAATTCTTCTACATGAATGCGTGTTCTTGTTTCTTTTTCAACGCCCAACATTTTGCTCCATGCAACATAGCTGATCTAATAACCGAATGTCCTATGCAATAATCGTCTATTCAAATTGGTTGGTCTTACTTTGAATTTTTCTCTCCCCAGAATCAGAAATTTTCTTTCTTCTTATCCTTACCCAAAAATGAACAATGAAAATTAACAGATTAATTATTCTACGTGCGGTGATAGTGTGATGATGCAAGTAAAAATTGCAGTTGACTCAACCCTACCCTTCTGTCATTATACTAAATTCCAGTTTATGCCAAAGGTAAAAATGGGATTTCATTTCAAATCCCTTCAATTCCTCAACTTTTTGAAATCCAATTTCCAAACTGAGAGTAAGTGTTGCATACATGAAGAACTTCAATAAACATATTATGTGTGTCAACAAATATTTAGCCATTAAAAAATATAGGGAAGATGAGAATAGAAGTGGCATACACGTTAAGTCCAGCTTGATTCCTCGTTGGTGTCTCGAATAGCTGCACTATTGCTACGCGAATATGTATCTATGTATATACACGTGTGTATTTATTTGTTATATCAATATATATATATATATAGCGAGAAAGACATAGAGTAGGTTTGCCAAAATCATCCCAAACAGGCCGGGTGGCCCTGAGTGGAAATTTTTGCCATCCTTATTTGTAGCTTTTTTTTATTTTATAAGACTTAAAAACATGAAATGAAAAGATGAGATGAGAGTGTTAAAATTTCTTTTTGTGCGTGTATATATTTAATTTATTTTAGTAATATATCATACTAGATAAGAATAATTTAATAAATTTATAATATTTTCATAGCCGAAAAATTCTTCCCAAAATCTTCTTGTATCCATTACATAATCATTTCTTCAAAACTGTCCCAAACAGGATTTGCCATCCTAGGAGAGAGAGATGGACACTCAAATCGAAAAGTATGAGATTGATATTAAGGTGTCTGGAACGAGGATGGAGATAGCTGGAGGGAACTAAACATTAGGGGAAAGGCACAAGTAACAAAATGCTACAGACTAAATTTATAATATTAGTTTTACTCTTACAATGCTATTTTTATTTATTTATTTGTACTAAAATGTATCAAAATAATGGTGGGTTTTGTTGCAATCATAATGTATTAATGTTGCTTGGATATGACCTCAAGGTCAAAATTTGAAACCATAAACCACTTTTTTATATGAATAATATCTGATATTTTTAAACTCCTAAGAGGTAGTCATGCTTTCTACTTAAATATAACAAAATAATTTAGTATAATTTTGATAAAAGGCTAGTGTAATTAAATTTATTGTTTTTTTTTTTTTGTTTAATATTATATTAGCAAAATAATACTTGGTTTTGGTTTTTCTAACGATCTTTGTGAAAAAAAGAGAAGCAGTAACCGATATCTTTTTAGTTAGTATTTGTCTTATCTTTTGAGTTGATTGCCTCAACAGATCGACTGTTTATCCTTCGAAACAAGATAAAAATATTTTGTGCTCATGAAAACTATATGGGATGGTCTTACAATTTGTTTTATTTTAAAATTTTAAAATTTACTTCATTTGTTTCGAAGAAAAATATTTTTTAGGTAAAATATTCTTTTATTTTTACTTTTTTTATGGTTGCCAAAAGTTTACATTGAGATTGAGGTCGAATCCATCGAGTGGGGCACGTAAAATAATTTGCCGAAAAGTGATGGATAAGCTATTTTTGTTAAATTTTAATATTTGTTTACTTCATAAATATTTTACAAAAACCAAACACCAAAAAATGAAAAAATATTTTACATACGGAGCCTTTACTCCCTCTGTTTCAATGTAAAATATTTTTCTCAAAAAAAAAATTTTTTTTAGGTTTTTTTTTTTTGATAAAGGTTTAGGTTGAAATCAAGGACAAACTCAAAAAATATAGGGGTGTTATTTTAAATATATAGTTGAAAAAACCAAATAGAGCATATAGTTGAAAAAACCAAATAGAGCATAAATATTGATGCACTTCATATTTTTGTCAAATTTTTATTTTTTTATTTATAATAATCTAGCTATATTTGAATACATGTGAAGCCTGACATAGTTATTAAAGGACATCTAGTCCAATGGATAGCCTTCTCATCCTCAACGAGGAATGGAAGGGTTGAATTCAGTTATAGACAAAAAGTGTGTTTTTTGTCAGGGTATGTATATATATATAAGAAAACTAAAAGAAAAGAGTGCGGCATGGTTGAATGATGGACACGAATAAAAGTAATTTTAAGATCTGAATGTATCTTATATTGAATTCACATGATAAGTGGAATGAATGTATATAAATGGGTATGCAGTCCTAATTACTTAACCTTTTGAATTAGAATGCAAACATGTCGCACCCGAAAGTTGCTAGAGTCCATAGAAGTGATCAAATTGGAACAAAATTGTTAGTGAGTTTGATTTTACAGAACTATCGAAACCTTTTACAACACATTCATAGAGTACTGTTACAAATTTTGAAAAGAAAATTAATGCATCAAAACCATTGCATTGCAATAATTAAGTGATTGTACGCATTAACACCGAATTAACTCATTATTCACGAACTTTTAAAAGTAACCACTAAAAATTTTAAGACTTTAATTTCAAGTGTTATTGTAAATTGAGATTTTTTTCTTTCTAAATTTTATTTGAATAGTAGTGTAATTTTCCTTACATTATAATTTTACTATTTCATTTGTAGAATAAATTTTAGTGCAATCATAAAAGCTCAAATTAAAATTTTAAATTTTCTCTCTCAGGCATTCATCATTTAACTTTTGTGATTAAAATTCAAATTATTGATAAATTAATTTTTAATGCTAATTATTTGAGCATTATGGAGAGCAGTTACTAGAAAAATACAGTTAATATTATTGTGAAATAATTAAAAACATATTGTTAATTTTGAAATTATTCACCCATTTTTCTATAAAACCCTAATGGACAATCTAAATTAATTTAGGGTAAAGTGTATTAAACCCCCTTAAACTATTGGTCATTTGTAAGAAACCCCCTGAACTATAAAAAAAAATCCTGAATTATGATTTTGTTGCAATTTACCCCCTTGCATTATTGGTCATTTGCAAGAAACCCTCCTGAACTACAAAAAACTCCCCTGAACTATGATTTTGTTGCAATTTACCCCCCTGAACAATGATTTTGTTGCAATATACCCCCATGACATTAGCTTCCGGCACCAAAAATTTTGAAAAACCAGTTTACCTTTATAACACACTGCGTTGTTTTAACTTATATACTTCTTACATTTTTTTTTTTTTTTTTCCTGCCAAAAGATGTTTTTGCACCCAACACAACCCAAAACAAAGAGCTAAAGAAAGAGAGAGAGAGACCAAAGAAATCCGAAGTCGGCGGGATAACTCGGTCTCGGATGATGGCGGCTTGTGCGTGGAGGACACAACTATGATGAGAGCTCGGTTGACTCGGGCGTGAACTGTGGAGGCGGCGGCAAGCTCAAGGGGGCTTAGCGGTGAATTATGGACGGCTGTGTGCTCGGCTATGGAGATGACGGAATGGGCCGGCGAGCCTGGAATGGACGGTGGAATGGACTGGCGAGTAAGGTGAGCTGAACGGCGGGCAAGGCAGTAACGGCGATGGGCTGACGCAACGGTGCAGAAAAGTGCGATATATATGGTCGACGGGTCTGGCGGGTGGTGCAACGGCTATGATGGAGCTATGACAGGAAACCCATCGATCCCAGCAACAAATTCCTTGGCTTCATTGTCCCTTTCAGTTAATCAATTCGCGCGCGATGGGGTAAACTGCAAAAAAATATATAGTTCAGGAGGGTTTTTTGCACATACCCCAATTATTTAGGGGGTTTTTTTGTAACTTTTATAGTTCAGGGGAGTTTCTTGCAACTTTTATAAATCAGGGGAATTTCTTACACATATCCCAATAATAATTTAGGGAGTTTTTTTACACATATCCTAATAATTTAAGGGGGTTTAACACACTTTACCCATTAATTTATAAATTTTTGTGATTCTCTTGAAAAATTAAGCACTGTCCATCCTTTCCTCTTTCATTCTTTTAATTTTCCTCCCCAACAAACACTCTAAAAAAACACCACGTAACCTTCGGCTCAAGTTAGCAATCCCACCATGCCACCTATAAATACTGAATAGAATACCTCACGCGAGTGAAACACTATACAATTCGAAAAGGACTGTGAAACCCTTCTAAGGCGAAACCCTAAAAACCCTCGTCTCTCAACCCATCACAGTACAACTGATCACAACTTTCTCTCTCTGGAAAATCAAATTCGAAACCCTAGTTTCTCTATTTGCTCAATGTTCTCAAGTCTTTCTTGTACATAATTGATTATTACATATATTTTTCCGATTTTATCATTGAAGATGGACATTGAACAAAAGCAAGCAGAGCACATCGAGTACTTTGTCAAGCAAGCCTCGACTCACAAGGGCTCGTCCCTCGCAAACGTTGTCGTTGAAGCCACTTCTCATCCGTCTCTCTTCGCCTTCTCTGAGATTCTCACAGTTCCTAGTGTTCTTGAGGTCTGAATATCGTCCATCACTTACTCAGTATCTAGGTTCAGTTGATTCTCATTACAATCTGTATCACTTGCATTAGTTTTAATTGAGTGGAATTTTTTGCCCTCTTTTTTTCTTAATTAATTTTTTGGGCCTTGGTTGCGGAGCAAAACGATAAAAAAAGACCTAGGATGTAGTGTTTTATTTATTTATTTGTGGTATTCATGTTCATAAATTTGATCTATTTTTCTTTTTACAATTTTCTGGGCAACCAAACAGAGTCTTACATATTTGTAATAGGTTTATAAGATTTTCTTTCATATAGTAGTTTTATAATTGTTTTGCACACACATGTATATATACACTATGCTTTTGCAGTGCTGTCTCAATAATGTTTTTCATTAAGTTGATGCACCAATTATTTTAGTTTTAATTGGATTCTGGCCTATTGGGAACTTGTTCACAAATATATATCCAGTTGGTATCCTGTACAATTCAATTTTTTTACCTAGTTACTGTATTAACTGAGGAAGCATTGTTGGCGGGAGGACAACAAGGTGTCGTGGAAGCAACTAAAACATTCAAACACCTTCTATGAATTTCAAACTGTGTAAATTGGTGTCCTGGCAAAGATGATGACATCATGAGTGCAATGAAATTTATTTCACTCCCACGATCTAGTGCAGGGTGGTTATGGCATAGTACTGTGCGTCTTTACCGGTTAACTGTTTATATCTTTTATCCTCTACTATCATCAAGAAAGCATTAACAACAACTTTGGCTGGCTAGAAAAGACAATCATTTCATCATTAAGCTGATATTGAGCTGAAATTTTGTTTTGGTTTTCAATGCTTCCCAATGCTATAGCCTTTGATTCCTTTTATGGTTTATCTCAACATTGTCAATTTTTTCTACTCAGTCATGGATATATTTGATTATAAGTAAACCTATAGATGAGGACTAGGCTAATATAAAACTAGATGAGTTAAACCTATACACGAGGATTAGGCTAATATAAAAACAGGACGAGTCTCGTCTGGAAGAGAGCCTTGAGGGCAAAGAATCTGAATAAGCAAAAATATAATTGGACCTAAAACGACTTAGTAAAACCACTAGGGACATGTATTCATCAGCATTGAATGCCCTTGTAAGTGGTAATTTCACGGCGTATAAATTGCTAATGTGTGTGCTTGCCATAACTGTGACAAATGCATGACTATTCACAACAAATGACTTGCGTCTTCTATACCCAGCGGATCTTGATTTTTAGCGCGTGTTCACCAGTGTGGATATGTTCCACCTACCTCTTTGTTTTTATCTCAATGTCTATGCATCAAATACCTCTCATGCTACTTTTTCTCCTCTCAATTTTTTTCTGATATATGGCTGCGCACTGATTAATTGATTTTATTTTCTATTCATAATTATTTTAGGTTAATTTCTTTGGTTAACTAAGTGTCAGAGAATTGTCTTGTGCTGCAAATTACGTTCAAGAAATACTTTGTCCTCTCTCTGGCTAATTAATGGTTTTGACTAATCTAACTGAATTCAGCTCCAAGGAACCGAGAATTCTGTATATCTTGATCTGCTTCGTTTATTTGCTCATGGCACATGGAGTGATTACAAGTGTAAGCATTTGTACTTATAGTTATATACATATGTTCTAGAGCTATATATTCCAATTTGTAACATGACATATTTTATTGATTTTTATGGTGTTTATAATGCATCTGAATTTTGTTATATTGTTTTAACTATGATATTCAATCATTGGATGAATAATTTGAATAATGGTTCAGAAAAGAATGGGCAATGGCCAAAATGAGCTGGGAATGATGATTTGTTAATATTGCCTTTTGGTGCCTTAATGTTCTAGATCCATGATTTGGATATATTTTATTTATTATGGGGCATATTTATTGATTTCCTCTCGTTTGTGGCTTTGGTAATGTGTGATTTGGACACTGGAATTGAATTTTGGTACGGGAATGTTAATGGTTTTCAGGTAATGTTGGTAGTCTTCCACAATTGGTTCCTGATCAAATCCTTAAGTTAAAGCAACTTACCGTGCTCACGCTAGCTGAGACAAACAAGGTACTTTGTTTTCAAGTTCTTTCAGTATTTTTTTTTTTACTTTGATTTGCAATGACGATTAATTGTTTTGAATGCATCAAGCTGCTTGATTGATTGAATGATGTCGGACTGCTAACTGTTTGAGTTGGCAACAGGACTAAGCAATTTTTTGGTTTCCATAACTTTATATCTCTTTCTGATTGGACCTTGTGTTTCACTTTTTGCAATGTAATCAACATTTTTGCTGGGAAAACAAGATAAGTTAGCTTATGGCCAGATATGTCCAACAGTCCAAGCCAATTTATGTCCTGCCTGGTCAAAAGAGCAACTGATTTGGTTTTGTTTAGAAAACCCTGATCAATCATTTATATCTGTCCTAGTCGGAGTTGAATTGGTTTTTTTTTTTGGTCTTGAATAGTTGAAGGGAAATTTCATGTTCAAATTTATTTGAAATATTGGGACTTGTGTATGGTTAAAGGAAAATATCAAGATTTACTCAAAGCCTAACTAGAAGTTTGGTGTACTGCTCAATAATGCTTGATTCATAGTCATTGAACTTCTACCTGAGTTTGTGTATGTACTGACTTGACATTGTTAATAGGGCACATATATAAGAAAGTACTATTTCAAGAATTGTATTTCTAAATTGCATATTATGTTACTACTTTTAGTTGTATACCGTACAACCAATGTATTTGTGTCTTGGCTCCCTTGTTGCGTTGTTATATGTGTTATATGTCGTAGAGCCTTTGTTTTTGTGTTATTTCTTCTATGATCATATGTTTTGGTGACGGGTAAATTACGATGACCTCCCTGAGGTTTGCAAGTTGCACCCACACATTAAATTTTAGTCAAAATCACTCTGATACGCCCTGTCAGAGTTAAAAGCTGTAATAGTCTTAAACATCTAATGTGATTTTACAAATTTACCCTCAACATTGTAGTAGTCAATACTAAAAAACGACACACGACTAATACTGGTCAATTTAGATGTGAAACATGTAATGAAATCCAATTATGTTCTCAGATTACCAGTAATCCAGATTCTGCCCATTATTAGCTGTCATTACTCAAAACTTGTATGCTTACAGTCAATATAAGTTACTGCCTTTCCACATATCATTAACTGTTACATTTCCTCTTCTCTCATTTCAAGTTTTCCGGTCATATATACTTGAGGACCTTGTGGTCACAAGGAAATGAACAGGACAATAGTATGTCTAATTGTTTCAAATTGCTAATTAACTATTAAGCACGGATACAGACACTGCGATATGACAAATTTCAAAAAAATAGGACACATACACGGCAAGGATACGGCAAAAAACTAGTCTTACAATTGTTATTATATATATAAAAAAATAAACTTTTACTCAATTTCTTATATATATATATTTATAAATATGACTCATTTAAATTAGACCCCCACATGAACCATCTTTCTTTTGAAAAACATAAATGTCCACCGTCCAAATTCCATTAGAAAATAAATAAATATATAGCTCTTTATGAAGAAAAAACAATAATAATAACACAATTCTTGTAGCCAAACAAGGAAAGATAAGATGGGAATCTTATTTGATATCTCCCCCTCTACATTGGTGTCTAGTGGGTCATGCCCGGACCTCAAGGGATTTAATTGACATTCGGAGGGGCAAGGGTGGGGGCACATGTTTGCGATTTTTGGAGGGTGACCCCCCTTTGTGTTTGGTGGAGCCTTTGGAAATAGCGGAATAGAAGATCTTTTGATGGGGAGGAATCTTCCATTGGGGCGTTGAAGTTTTCTATTATTTGTTCTCTCTTTTGTTGGGGTTGGGGGAGAAATTGTTCATCTTTAGATGAAATTGTGGACTTTTTGGGTTCTTTGGGTCCGTAGGTCTTTCCCCCTTTCTTTTTTCTGGGTTTTGTATAGCTCTTGGGACGCGTTCACCTTTTGAACGCTTTCTAATACATTTTTACTTATCAAAAAAAAAAAAATCACCAGCGTCTTTGTGCTCCCTCCCTTCCGGCCGATTCTATCTCATCCCCTCCATCTTCTCACTTTTTAGATCTATATGAATTAGTATATACACATGTTATATATATATATATATATGATACCCACAACCGATCTTTTCCATATGGGTTTGGCTCCCTCTTCATCTTCTTCCTCTCTTGCTTCCTCTTCATATTCTTTCCTCCCGGGGGCATGCCTGATGAGTGTCCGGCATGTCCAATCCGTGTCTGACCGTGTCGATATATTAAAAAAATAAAGGGACACGGTTTGGGAGTGTCAAGCATGTGTCCAACCCTCAGGACTCTCCGACATGGTTACGGCACCCTATCAGCTGTGTCTGTGCTTCAAATCTAATTAAAATCAATCTGGACACATCAAATTTGAAGAATTTAACGCTTGTATATATATATTTTTTTACCTTTTTATAATTAAGATTTCATTGAAAGCAAGGAAGGGGAGTGCGGTCGAGGATCTGCTTTACAGAAAAAGAAAGCACTATACCTTCACACTACCCAAAAATTCAGAAAAATCCTCTACAGATATAAATATACTCCCTCGCACCTGAAAGCACCCATATTGGTGTTTCCACACCTTCTATAGATCTATTCCTTTCTTTCCCTAAACCCCACCAAACTCATAATGGACTATTGGACTGACCCTCCTAGCTTCTCGGGTTTGTCTTCCCACTGTACATTCCCTCCAAGACTCGAGAGTTTCTATAATGCTGGTCGGAATGACCCACTACATCCTGAAAACAGTCAAAAGCATAGCCCCAACATCACTTGTTACTGGGCAATTGAATAAGAGATGACTCTTCTCATCTCTTTTGCGCATGAACACCAATTGACTACAATTTGGCGCTGCTTCCTCAAATCGTCCATGGTTATAATTCTTCTTAATGACAGAGTCTCACCTAAAGAAGCCACAGAGAGGGGCTTTTGTCCTTCACACCGGTTTCTATGGAAAAATGGCATCTGAAGCTCCCTTGAGTGACTGATAAAATGATTTGATATAAAATCCATCCTGCCTGGCTACCCTCCAGCACCATATATCATTGATCTCCATATCCACTGGCTGCTGATAGATCAAAGGATAAGGCTACCACCTCTTCCAACTCCCACTTGTGAAATATCCCATGTCACCATTACATTAAACAGTCAACTACCATGCTATGGTTGTTAATCACCAGCCTGAACAGTCTAGGAAATAGATGAGCAAGAGGTCTGCCATCGCACCAAGAATCCAACCAAAATCTAATCCACACCAGTACACCAAACACAAACATGCACGCAACACTCCTGATATCAGTGGCTAAACCAACACTCAGAATGTTGACTTTGGCCTCCCAAATACGGAATCAGATGATATCCGTTTTCACCAACACCATCTCAAATCATAGGCACTGGATGTCATGGCATGGGAAATTGGCGGTGCCTGTGTAGCCCAATCTTCGAGTAAGGAGTGGGTCGTGAGGGTCTGATGATCACCTCAATACTCCCAGCCCACTTCATCTTTGATACGACCACTCCTCCGATGTCCATCCACCTCCTCTGATATCATCATTTACAATGACAGTCAAATTCTTCCAATGCTTCAATGTGACATCCAGAAGAAGCCAGAAGAGAGAGGAAACCCCAATTAATGGCTTCTTTTGGTGAGTAGCGGTGGTCAAGAGGTAAGAGAATAGAGAGATGAGGAGAGGGAAGAGATTGAAAAATAAGAAATCTCAGAGACGAGAAATTTCAGAGTGTTTCCAAGAAAAAAGAAAATAATAAAGTAGAGAGGGTAAATTAGTCTTTTGAAGAAGGGACATATATGTAATTTCCAAATAATGAATATGGATATTTACGTCATTACGTTATAATAGGCAACTTTGGCATTCTAGAGAAATTTTTCCACGGACCACACAAACGCAACGGGTGAGGGAATTTTTGTTGTTTTGTCATAATCTCTATAGAGGTTGAACATAATTCTTGTAAAAGATTAATGTATGAGTACAACATGCAAAAACCTCGGGGAGGTGAGTGGTGACAGTGACTACATATATAGGTTTTTTGTTGCAAGATATCTCTACTTGGATTTTTTTTGGTATTTTCAGGCTCTGATTATTGGGTTCTTTTGCCAGGTACTTCCCTATGATGTACTGATGCAGGAGTTAGATGTTACAAATGTACGCGAGCTTGAAGATTTTCTCATCAATGAGTGCATGTATGTGGTAGGTATTCCAGCACTATTTTGAGATGTACTTGCACGGATAGAATCTGCTTAATTGTCATTAGGAAAAATAGTACTGGAGTTTTTTTTATACATAACGGAGGGTTCCCCCATCTCCTCCCCGAGAGGGGAGGGGGGGAGAAACATAATTCCCTTTGGATACCCACAATCGCCCCCCCAAAATAGTAAAGAAGCTCCTTATGTTAAAGGGTTTGTATTTTGATGTCATGTATTTTGCAATATTTTTGGAATATACTTGCACTGCCTGATAAAAACTATGTAATATTACCAGTAGAGAAATAGTACCGGAGTTCCTTTTGTTTAAGGATTTGTATTTTTTATTTTATGTTATGCATCTAGAGGGCATATAACCATCTTGAGATTAACTATTTGTTTCTTTGCGTAGCATTCAATTCATTTATTAACATTTGAAACATTTATTTTCTTTCTTGTGCCTGCCTTAATTAAAAATACAAGAAGCGTGCTGACTTTTGCTTTGCCTTTTTCTTTTGTTGCAGGGCATAGTTAGAGGAAAGCTGGATCAGTTGCGAAGATGCTTCGAGGTCTGAACTCATCATCTCCACCTTGCTTTCTTTGTATAGTTGCCATTTTTGGCCCTCATTGTATAAATATAAGCTCTGTTGTTGGTACCTGATCTATTTTTTTTGGGGTGATGTTTAGGTGCAATTTGCAGCCGGAAGAGATCTAAGACCAGGACAAGTGGGAAGTATGATACAAACATTAACTAACTGGTAATCTCTCTTACTGGTTTACTGTTTGGTTGTATGTTGGAGTGCTTTAATTAGTAGTCAGTATTGTTGTGGCTTATTCAAGAGAGGTCTCACTGTGCACAAATAAAAAATCTTGTTTGGCTGATCTCGAAACTGCATGCTGAGAAGCAGTCCTGTGTGGCTAACTAGAATTTTTGCTTAAGACTTTTTAAAAATGGTTTCCGAAATTCAAAAATATTTGAAATGACTTGGTCAGAAATGTTATATTGACTGAAACTTGCGAGACTTTTTGTCATTCCTGAAACTTAAGTGCTTTTTCTATGCTATATTCTTCACTCGAATAACTTTTGAGTGGGCAAAGTTATTTGTGTACTGCTGAGTTGGAAGTCATGTATTCAGGATTACAGTTTTGACTTTTTGAAAGCATGTATCAGGTGCATCTTGGGATATGATTTGCAACAATATATCTCATGTGAACCCAGCATATTGATTATTGACCTGCTGGGCTTTCATTGATGACTTGTGTTGCAAATTCTTCAATATTGGAAATATTAAGGAAAATTTTTCTTGCTAGAGAAATCCGAACATTGGGATGGATGTGCAGCTGGACAATAAAAGACATATATATATATAAAAGTAAGAAAAGATAAAATTAGAAATGAGCACATTCTTGGCATGGTTGAAGTGGCACTTATTGGAGATAAAATGAGAGAATCGAACAAAATTGGTCCACATTGAGGGTGATGCTAGGGAAGGGGAAGACCAAATATAATATGGTTTTTTTTTTTTTTTTTTGTTTCTTCTTTCTAAGATATATTTCATTAGAAGACCCTCCAGAGGGGAGCACTCCCAAGAAAGCACTAAGCGGCCAACTATACTCTCAACTATCAACAAGATCCCAACAGATTTACAAATTCTCCCATTGAACGATAAGAATAAAAAACTCAAAATAGTTTATTTGAGAGACCAAATAGGAGTCAAAATGTCACTTGATTATCTATTTTTTCTTTTAACCGTGTTACTTGATCACAAATCATCTGTTCCTGCTAGCTGAAAATCCCTCCAACTCCCACCCCACACTCACCCACTCTATCCCCCCTCGTCCCGTCAATCGTACTAAAAAGAGGAAAAATAAAAATGAATGAATAAGAAAGGAAAGGAAAATAAATCCCGTATGCTCTTCAGGGATACTTGTTAAAAAAGTTATCTTTTCAAGTGTTTCAACCTTTGAGCCATTCTGGTTTTCAGACCTATCAACAGATTCATTCATGTAGGTAGGATATAGAGTGGGGTGTTCAAATCTTAATCATCACATGGATATGTAGTTGTTAAGCTAGTAGTCTTGGCAATTTATCCATGCATTGGCATCTATCTGATTTTGAACATAAAAACAGGTCCCAGACCTTCACGTCGCACCTTGTTTTTCCACTTGAATAATTTTTTTTGGTTGGTCAAATGAGACCTGTAATGACCCTTGTCTTTATGTGAGCTTCATTTCATATTCTTAGGATGTTCAAGCAATTAGGCTCTGTTATGTATCACAGTATCAGGGATGTCCTAGCATGTACTTCTAGCTGCATTATTAACAGTAAATCTTGTTTTCAGTTCTGCTTGTATTTATCCGTGACATTCTTCAAACATTCATTTGATGGAATACATAGGTTGGCTACATCAGACAATCTACTTATTTCCATTCAAGATAAGATAAAATGGGCAGATACCATGAGCGAGTTGAACAAGAAACACAGAAAGGAAGTTGAAGACAGGGTGGACGAAGTAAAGAAGTCGCTCTCCTTCAAGGTCGGTTGAATCAATTCTTTGTTTTATGTTACTACTCATCTGTTGTTTCTTTCCACAATTCAGTACGAGTCAATATTTTGATTGCATTTTTTGGTTCTGGGCTTTGGACGTCTTTTGGGATGAAACTTGACTTTTCCTAAGGCACTCAAAGGTATGCCCATTTTCCTCAATTGAAGTGTAATGAAGCAAAAAGTAGTCATAATGGACAAAAATTTGGCCTCCTCATCATATTAAATGATGTCGTCACACAATCAATAAAATGGTGCAGAATAGATGGTTCATAATGTGATCTATGTAGCATGACACTTTGTAAGTAGAGCCATGATCACGTGACACTGTTGTACACGGCACTCTTCTTATCCTCCTAGAAACCTGTGGGCATAAGCAAGTCAAACATGCATCAAGAACTATTTAATTTGGAAAAACCTACAGTTACAGAAAAGGGAATATAATATGGAGGAAGTAGGCCTTAACAATATTGTGTAAATACTTATCAAGCTTCATTTTTGGATAACATAAAGTTATGATAAAAATTCAAGTAATTCTATCAAATTTACATCCCATATAATGTATAACAATTTACAAGAGTATTTGTATGTAAATGTATATGTGTATATATATATATATTGGTTCACAAGTTAATACACATTCATACGTCGTGTGTTCTGGCTCTGTCAGTGTCTGAGCTTCCAGGAGTTTGTCTTGTCGAAGTGTCTTGTTTTGTATGCATCAATTGTCACGTGTAGTTCATTTTAGATGTCGAGCAGACAATTTTATATCCACTTGATGTCCAAAGTCTGTGGGTGGGTGCACATACAACTATAGTGGGGAGATAGTAGATAGGGAGGGGGATGTGCGGTTGGACTTCAGTCCGATACGTATGCCAAAAAGGGAGGTTAATTGGATGCCAACTAGTATATGATGGACCTGGCTCATTTGAATCTCTAGTGGCTATTATTTGTAGAAACAGAATGTTAAAACGAGTCTTCATTGAATTACTGGGATATGTTAGTCGATGTGTCTTACTTACGTTGTGGCAGAAGTTACAAACTGTAAGCAGGCCGACATTGACTTCCAAGGGCATGAGGAGATCTACTCTGAACCTGGCGGAGTGATGGACTATGAGGAAGACCGAAGCCGACCCAAGAGGTAATGCATGGCACTTTACTCTTTTAGTTGTGATTGTAAATCCATGAAAGTCTGGCTCTTTATATACTGTCATTGACTTCTGTGAGCCAATCTGGCTATCTTTTATAATAGATGGAGACCTCTCCCATTCTCTAGTAAATGTGGTATAACATGATAATGCAATCTTTATGTTTTGGTACCTGAAATTTGTTATATAAATGAGAAAACATGATGAACCATCAGAATGAAAGAAATCCCAGAAGCATTACGAGGGAGAAAACTAATTAAACTAAACCAATGGATTGTGAAATCACCAACTGTTGGCTTGAATGATATCTCCAGTCATCTTCAAAAGGGGGGAGGGAGGCAAACTATATTTATACTGTGACGGTATGCCATATACCGGGGTAATTGTCGGGTGTAGGGTTAATGTCCCAGTTGGGACACAGGACTCTTGCCAAAAACAAAAGGATTGCGAAATTGAAGAGAACTCTATTCAAAGACGCAAGACTTTATGTTTAATGATCTGCACTTTATAGCATCTCTTTGCAATATCTTTCTTTTCTTTGTTTTGGCGGTGCAAAAAGCGATAATTGTTTATTTATTTATTTATGAAACTTCCTAAATTGCAGGAGGCGTCATCCAATAGGTTGAAGATATATTTACCCATAGGTTACCTTGTCAGGCAACTAGCCGTTTTTTGTTCATGGCATTTCAGCAACACAAGGTCGCTTCCTTTGGAGACATATTCAACTATTTATAGTTGCTCTCTTGAATCAGATTCAGAGAAAAATATAAAGTGTTAGCTTGGACTGGAACACATTATTATTCATTTGAGTCAGCAAGAACAATATCAGACGCGTTGCGGCAAAATTTTTTATGGAGTTATGCAAGATTGTAGATACAGTTTTATGCTTCATGTGGTTGCCTTTTGCGTGTCTTTATTCAGTTATGGAAATAGATATTATATGGTCAGATATAAAATGCTTGGTTCCCCAATATATTTTTGTGTCCAATGAGTTTTATTGCTATGTTGTATGTTCTTTTTTGGTAGGAGGGATGGAAATGGTGGGAAGGGACAGTCCATTAAAAAAAAAAAAAAAGAATGGATGCCCAATGCCCGCCCCTGTTTTTTGTTTGGTTAAGTTGGAAGGAAAGAGGTGTACTATTATTTTGTCATTATATTCGTGATGTTTGAAATGATGTATGGCCTTGGTGTAATACTAAGATTGCTCCATTATGACCTAGAGGAAACAAAAATGGCTAGTCTTGACGGATGCATCAACCCTCCATCCTTCCCCACTTTCTTCCAGTTTGGTTTCAAGCTTTATGAGGGATGAATGTTAGTCTTGACGGATGCATCAACCCTCCATCCTTCCCCACTTTCTTCCAGTTTGGTTTCAAGCTTTATGAGGGATGAATGTTTTGTTCTATGAAATCATTTAGGTGCAAAAGGTGTAATGCCAAAGCATTGTGCATTGTGGCGGAATTGTGCTAATATAGTTTTACCAACGCGAGTTATCAATTGCTATATCCTATATCGTGTGGAATGATTCCTCGGCCCGAACCTTTGGCTCATTTGTTTAATGGGGACTGTTTGGATTTGGATCATTTGTGGTTCAGTCTGGTCTCATGACGAGCTTAATTTTAGCCTGGTTTGGGTTCGTCTGGTTATGAATTTGTGGCATTATCACTCTTTTAAGCTTTACATTTTATTTTTTTTATATTTTATTTTATCAATAAAAAGCTAAAAAACTAGTCAAAATCTAGAAAGAAAGATTAGAAGAAATAAATGCAAACGATTCAAATCCATGCTATATTTGCAAGCTCGACTTTGGCTCGTCTGTTAGACGAATGGCAAGTAGATGATGAGATCCTATTGAAATGCAGGAGATGAAGCCTTAAATTTCCTCCTTTTATTTCCGTATGTTTTTATTTTTTATATGGATGGAGAGCAATATTTTGGATGCATGTGTATATATATATATATATACACACACACATTGTATATGAAGAAAACTTGCTAACAAATTCAGGAACCAGGGCCTACAACTCTCTCTCTCTCTCTCTCTCTCTCTCTCTGTTGTCAAGCCAAGAATCAGTTTTAAACATAAAGTATTGAAATGGTAATGGATAGTGTGAAAGTTAGTTCCAAGCCAGGAATCAGAGTATTCTTTGCTTTCCACAGTATATAAACAAGCCATTTGATACCACCTTATTAACTCTCTTTGTTTCACAATATAGACCGACATAATTCAACTTACTTTGGCGTTTTTTCATATTTGGAAGGAAGATGGGGATGGTCATAAGTTTCATGGCAAGAGGTTAGTTAACTCTTGTGTGCTCTCACTTCATTCATTTTTTTTTTTTTGCTCTCTCTGTCTCTCTTCTTATTTTCATCCTCAATGTCTTTGTTTTCGTTTGAATGATAGGATCATCATCAACAAATATGGATGCCTCGATTGGAACACATTACGAGAAGCTCATAAATATCAAAGAATTTGAGGAATTCCACAAGATTATTCTTGATATCTTCAAGTAAGATATTGACATTCACAGATATATATATATATATATATATATAGAGAGAGAGAGAGAGAGAGAGAGAGAGAGAGAGAGAGAGAGAATTTCCCTTTACAAAGACAAACAAGAGAAGGGTTAATGGTGAATATAATTAAATAGAATGCCAGAGGTCTTTCGAGTATAGCATCAAGTTCTAAATTTATTGATTAAATTGCTAAAAAACCAAAGTAGAACAACCTATTCTTTGCTGCATATCTGACTGTTTCTTGACCTTTAATTGATCTTATCCAGCATCTTCAATGCATCATTACCCGGTGGCCGTTATGAAGTTCCAGGGCGGAAAAAAGTAGAGGTCCTCTTTCTCGTCTTTCTTTACACACACACGCGCATATATGACTATTAAACCATATATTAGCAAAAATGCAGGAATGTTTTACTAAATGGAATAGCACCGAGGACGAGTCAAAAAAGAAGGAACTGCTCACTGATTTGGTGAACGTCAGCAAGTTGGATCAATGCACCTTGATCACCGGATTGGTAACACCTCCGGTAGCCATGGCAGCAAAGAAAGCAGGCGAGCGCGTGCCCCAGCTGAGATTGATCAAGTCCATCCCTGACGTTGCCTTTGTACCCTCTGCCACCGTGGTGGCCCTTGTCACGGCCAAGTTTGTTAGGAGGATCTTCCAGGGAAATGTAGCATCAAGTCCATCCCAGACGTTGCCTTCGTACCCTCAGCCCTGGGACGAGGCTACTGCACCTTGGGATGCTGTGCCTTCTTATAATGCTGCTCAGCCAAGTTCTTCATGGGGATCTTCCAGGGAAAATGTAGCATCATGAATGCAATCTTCATCCCATAGGTGTGGAAATGATTGTCAAGTTCTCAATACAAAACAACATAATAAAGTTGCCAAACAAAAATACAATAACATATCCATGAGATGATATAAGTAATTGTGTGTGAAGTTTGTGTTTGCGTGTGTGTGTATATATATGTATGTAGAGAGCGATTTCAATAGGCTGCTTAAGATCCTCCCACAAACCAAAGTCATTACATCTTGATTTTCAAAGAATTTGAATGCATCAATACATCCTATATAATCAAATAACCGTGAACCTGTAGATCACTTGCCATCTGTTAGCCAAGTTAACCGGGCACGCTGACCTGGTTTGGACCAATCCGTGACTTAGTCTGGATTGAACCCCGTCACCAGCATTAGGTGAAAAATGGTTTACATACACGTTTCTTGTGAAACCTCATATTTAAACCAATGACACTCAGAAAATCAAGTATAGTTGAGTGCTTAAATGAAGTCACTATTAAGCAACATGTAAACACATTTTACTAATAAAGGTTACAGAAAATACCCCATGTAGTCTCAGAACAGCTTCTAATATACTATTATTATTATTATTATTTATACAGACTATATAGTTGACATACAAAAACACAAAAAATGGCGAGGTGTTGGTCTTTGGACCAATACTTCACCGGAAGTACTCTTACAAAAACGGTACAAGAAAAAGAAAGATCACATACAAACCTACACGAAACACCTTTAACTAGATTGACAGAGCTTGTTGGTTCTTTATTCAGATTAAGATTACAGAGCAATATCTTCATATGGCCCTTTAAATTGCCAAGCCATGGAAGCTAATTGAGCATGTTGTGATTGGCATCCATTGACTACGTTGATATTATTTTCGGTCTGCGTGACTAGTCTCTAAATTGAAGGTTCTATCTGGTGGTGTTCGAGGTTCCGGAGGACAACTCTTGCAAAGATTTTGGCTTCAAGAGGGGCAGTTGCTGCTGCTGCTGCAGCACGCAGAAGCCGTGGTGCTCCAGCATTCTGTAGAAGGGTCACATGGTGCAGTGCATGCCGACCACCCGGAATGGTGAACTGCAATTTAAGATCAGATTCATGGAAGAATCTCCCATATTAGTTAGGATTTGACCATAATTTTATTGTATTATGGAAGGAAAGGAGAGAAAATAATTATGGATATCGTTCACCGCATAGAGAGAGAGAGAGATGCAGCCTACCTGGAGAAGTGCAAATGCAGCACACACCTTCAGTGTAGAAGATGGATTTCGTAGCATGGCAACAAATCTTCCAATCTCCGCTCCACTGAAGAATATAAAAGTATGACATTAATATAGGATTAGAAAATAAAAGAATTTTAGCAGGAGCACGAAAACTTAGAGATATCCTGAAACAGGCATAGAATTCTAGTTTCAAAAATAGAAGTAAAAACAACAAGACAGCAGACAATTTGAAAAATGAAAGACATTTTTTTATGAGTAGAATTTCCAACCAAGTGTATTTTTAACTAATTAATAATGTTGTGGAAGTGGAGACCTTGATAGAAATGGAAGGAGAGAGGAAAAAGGGTAATGGGAAAATTATAACAACAAAAACCTTTTAGTTTTCTTGTTAATGCTTCGTTTGGTTGGAGGGAAGGATTGAGGAAGGATGGAAGGGAGGAGAGCTAAAGAAGCTTTTCCCTTGTTTGGTTGGAAGGAAGGGAAGAGAATATTTATTACTAAACCTGGAACCAGGCAGGTAACCTTGAAATTTAAACACATAAGAGACTTTTTATGGAAAAATACATTAATTATAATGATTGTGGTATTAGCTCATTACTAATTAGCATTTAGTCCCCAAAGTAGTTTTCTTGTTCTTTCCATGGATTGAATTTTGAAACGTTTCAAAACCTTCAGTATACATATATACCACACTGCAAGCCTGCGTAGCCCCAGGACCTGCCAGGACCAAAACTGTGTAATGTCCCTTCCTAGAAATCTGCAAAGCATTTTTTGAAGTTTCACTAGAACTTCAGATGGTTGTACTATTTTCATTCCCATCCTTTAACTATGACTCATTTGCTATGCCAAGGTTTTCATAATGCGTCTCAATTTTAGAGGTATGATACTGTTCGCAAGAATTGAGATTTTTTAAACTTAAATTATATTAATTTAAGAAATATAATGCACCATATAAAGGATGGCTCTATATTAAAAATAAATTAAGAGAACATATGGTGCTTTGGTTATAGTATTACAGTAGTAGTAATAACAAAGAAGAAAGTGTATTCAGAAACACTTTATGGTGAAGTGATCTGGTAAAATTGATTAGATCAGATCAGTAATCAACTGCGCGCATGTGTGCGCGCACACACCCACACAGAGAAGTGGAAAACCTGCATCTAAGATGACCGGCCTCTTGGATACGAGCTAATTCAGTTACTTGTGTTAGTGCTGCAGAGGATGATGATGCAGCGGCAGCAGAAAATGCTTGCGGTTCAGAAAATGTAAGGACAAATGCTTCAATGTGCTTCAAAGCCATCCTCCTAGCACCATCTAGGCTTACACTTTTAGATGTGCTTTCTGATGAAGTCCCTATCAGTGCAAATTCATCCATTCTGTACAAAATAAGAAAATTTGTGGGAACACGAGTCATGGTTTCAGAAAGGAAAAATCCCATTTTGCAGCAGCCCTTTGCTTGATGGGAAGACAATAGGGATCATAAATAGCCTTTCTTCATTTATACATCTGTAACCTGCATTTAGACTCAGAAGAAACTGATTGTTTCTAATAGGCACCACAAACTCATGAGAATGAGCTGCAATGCAACTAAATTTCATACGAATGCAGCAATCTCTTTTTGCTGTGATACAAATTCTCTACCAGAACAAATCCAAGTCTTTCACTCTTCAGTATACAATACTTTACCATTGGAAAGTTCAACTGGAAAGTACTATACTACTGGAAAAGAAAGCACTACTGGCCTATAAACAGAGAGAACTTGGTTGGACTCTCAACTTTAATCTAAAGGGCTCAAGTCCCTTCAAAGTTTCCTCTACAGTGGTGCAAGCAATTATGTATATACTAATTTAGATCCCAAACATTTTCAGATGAACTCCGAAAAGACGAGATGCTATGAACTTGATATTTGGTTAAGATAAACAAAGACATGATATGATTTAAGTACCTTCCATCAAACATGTAGGCCAATGCCAATGCAGCCATGAAGCGTGCCATTTTAGATACTGACGAAGAACAAAGATGAACAAGGGCTGGAACTCCCCCTTCCTCCACTATACGTAGAGCGTTACCAGGGTTGAAAGCAAGATTCCAAAGAGCTCCAGCAGCAGTCTCATGGACGTCCTGAAAGAGTAAATATATATATATATATATATATATATATATATACATATAGAGATATAAAATTCAATGTGTGCTTTTATTTTTATTTTATAAGTAAAATTCAATATGTGTTTCAATGCATGAAAAAAACCACTTCTTATTAGCTGATGTGAGCACGATTTGCAAGTATAAATATTTAACGAAGATGAAATTGCTGAAGAATCAAAACACAGATTATACACATAACTATGAAAAATATGCAACATACATAACAAAGAAAGAACTCCTCATAGAACATGAGCATAACTTGTCTCCAAGAAATCCAGTAAATATGAACTTGTTCAAGTAACTATTTACAGGTTAAACACAAAAGACTCAAATTTCTATCAAGAATTTGCAGGTCAGTTAATCATATTTGCACAGATTCTCCCAGAATACCAATAATGATGAATAAAAATATAAACGATTTCACCAATGACCAACCTGGTGATTTTGAAAAACAAGCAAAATCAAAAGATGGAGGACAAAGCATTTCCAGAGTTAAGAAATTATATAACAGGATATGTAGTGCTTCAATAATCAAACTCAACATACTAAATGTCTTTCTCATTTATGAAAGCATTCCTTATGTCATGTCATGCGTGACACGGTTTACAAAATCCTCTATATATACATATGCTATAAAAACATGACACCATCCACCTCAAAGCCTGCATGACAGTCTACATGGCACTCTCTCTATATACCATTTAGTTTACACAGTCAAAAATAGGAAACTTAGCATAAATCACAAATTCTCTCCCATATCTCTCTTACAAACACAAACACACACACACACACACAATTACTAGAAATCCCCCTTAAATCTTCCTCTTATCTGTTTTTCTATAGCCGTAGCTTAATTTTTGTGTCCTTTCTAACTGTATTCAAAATATCCAAACCAATTAGGGCATTTATATGTGTGCATGCCCATATATATTAAAGCACTAAAGAAGACGTCTCCATTCAGTGCCTACATGAACTCCCATGCATCACACGGATCACTGCTAGTGTTATTGACTAAAGACCAAACAATGCATCCTAAATGTCAAATAGGGGTGGCAAAGTTTGACACGACCCGCTAACACGACTCGAACACGACACAAGTTAAGCGAGTTTGGGTTGACCTTAAACAGGCTCGGGTCGTAAATGGGTCGACACGATTAACCCGTTTAGTTAATCGTGTCGTGATTGGATTGAGAGGTTCAACCCGTGTATCCTGTTTAACTATACGTGTCATAAACAAATTTCTATTTAAGTTCCAAAATAACTATCTAAACTTATATCTTATAATTTATTCTTTTGTAGATTAGAGATTATTTGGTAATTTGGTTGGATTGAAAGTAATATTTTTCTAGTATTTATTGTTGATTGAGTATTATTAATAATTTAAATAATATAATATTTCATTTTATTAAATAGGTCATTAAACAGGTTACACGTGTAACCCATTTAATAAACAGGTCGGGATCAGGTTAGTGTCGAGGTTTCCTGATACGATTATTAAACATGTCATGTTCGGGTTGAGTTGTTTAGTAGAATATCCTTAGGTCGACATGACACCATTACGACCCACGAACAAGAATTGCCAAATGAGGATCCAAAACCCGAGTATGCATCTAAATAACTATCAAAGCCACTGCTCATTGCCAAACTCAGTAGAATGGCAGTATATTCCATATAAACAGGGTCAGCAAATATCTCATTGCAGAAATAAATGCAGCAGACAAGTCTTCACCTAGAAATACAGATTAGCTTTCCATTTAAAATAAGCTAACAAAAAGAAATATGACCTAAGAGAACAAGGAAAAAAACTCGCCACTTAAGAGATCCTTGAGTTCCTGTCATAAATTAACAAGGGGTTGAAAATCTGGATCCAGTAACAAGTTTCGCTGCTTCGCAAAACGTGAACGCTAGGAGCTTTTGATAAAAGTATTGAAACAGATTCTTAATTTCAAAAGGAAGTCTTGCAATAACCATCATGAAGCCACAGTAAATACAACTTGAACTGGTAAATGGCCCTATATCAGATTCCACAGCCGAGGAACTTCCTTGGCTATTTGCTAACACAGAGATTATTGGACAACCATTCTGCTAAATTTTACATTTAGTAAAATGATGCCCTTATCCATTGTGAGAATAAATTGATATCAAAACATGCTAATTACATATGAATTACAAGCTTAGTGTAGCTCAAAAAAATGAGGATCCAATCCTTCATAAATTTTAAAAATAATAATAATTTTAGAGAATTACTGACTAGTCCAACTTTTCCCTTTCAAGGACTAACAAATCTAAACAATTTTCAATAATACCACTCACTCCTACTTTTTGATAGATGTTTCCACATTAGTTTCAAATCTCTCAAATTTCATTATTACCCTTTGTAATATGAGGATTGTGTGTGTGTGTGTGTGTGTGCATTTTTACATTTAGTTCATTAGTAGCTTTGTTCAATATCTATGCATTCTTTTTAAATTTTAGTGAATTAATGAACATTACATAATGACTTAAAAAAAAATTAACTAATTTGATTTCAATTCAACTTAGAAAATCTTGTCTAGACATTATGTTATGACTTTAAAAAATTTGCCACAATATAAAAAAAAAAAGGTCATTTAAGTATTCTTTGAAAAATATGTAAAACATTTTTGTTACTTTATAAAAAAGAATCAAATTAAAATAGATCTGATTGCCAAGAAGAAAATATTAAACATGTTTACATAGTTAAAAAAAAATTAGTGTTAGGTTATATATAATATATATGATAATTGCAAATTTTTAGTTCTAAAATGCAAAGGGTATAAATAAATGATTGGTAGATTCAGAACTAATATATATATTACATATATATAATCAAAAGTAGAACCTAATGGTCATATTGAAAATTGATATGTACTATTGATCTTTAAAAGGAAAAAAGTATCACTAGTTGGAAATTTCCAAAATACTTTATACAAGATCTTACAAATGATGAACAATGTCCTTATTTCCCCTATAAATCTAAAGCCATCTTGCCTACTTATACGAGCCTTATTCTCAAGAATGGGAATAAGCATGAAACTACTAGAATGAAGAACCCAACGTCATTCTTTAAACCAAATTCCAGGATTTTAAGCCACAAATCCTGGACAAAACACAGATGAGCTATCCCCACATTAACTAGGGCTTCAGCTTTCCAAAACAGTCCATGTCAAAACTAGGAAGTAAAAAGTATAGCTACAAGATAAATGCAAACTGAAGTGCTAAGCAGCCAACCACATTAACGCTTGTACAGTAATAATCAGTCACTCGACAAAACACAGATGGCTTAAACAGCAAAACTTCAGTATAATAGGAGTTGCATTTCACTATCTATAAATGGAAGGGACGAGTTCATGTAATGGATAAATGAAATTTTCCATAAGCAAAGGAGTAATTTCAATACTTACTTCAGCATCAGAGCGTGCAAGAGCTATAAGAGGTGCAACTCCTCCTCCTTGTCCAATCGCAATGCTAAAAAAAATAATAATAATAATAACAACAACAACAACAATAATGCATAAACAATTTGAGAAAAAAAATGGAAATTGAAAGGGAATAAATTTGTCTTAATGGAACAAGGGCCTATTATCATAGAGGATTACACAGCATGACCAAATATTATAATGAAATAATCTTTTTCTGGTAAGCACATTAACACAATTGTAAAAACAGAAGATAAACAGAAACTTATTATTCGGTCAACCATTTTTCTTTTATCAGAAAGTTTCAGTTAACATGCTTGGATTGTTTATACGCCTTTTAGATATCATTACCGATTATGAACACGTTTCAAATGCCTGTACTGTAATCAAGCATAACAACATCGCATCATTACAAGAATGGCTATCAAGTAATGCTTCTTGTGCAAGATATGTTTTACAATTACTTGTATCCACATCCTCTCTCTCTCTCTATATACACACACACACACATATATATTGTTCGCTTTGAACTGAACATGTTTATTTACTTGAAGAACTGAGCTCTTTGGAATTTCTTTTATTAAATGAGCTGAGTCCAAACAGTCATGAGCTTGGCATGATGAGGCTCATGAACATCTGTAAGACGGTAAATATGTAATTATGTGGCTAGCAATTAGTGAGGATGGAAATTGGTCTGTATTGCCGATGCATGTACTCCAGTTGTGTAGTTAGGAGAAATAGTAGAGAAAGTTTGAATAATTATTAAAAAGAAAAGCCGAAGATTGTTTAATTCATTATTGGTGGTATCACATTCTAGCCTGTCGTTGCAATCTCATCCTTTGTTCCTTTATTTATATATACTCTATTCAAATGTGCGAACACTGGTAGTATAAGATCTAATCATCTTAACAAATAAAGATTTTCCATGCCAACTTTCTCAGTGTTTGCTGTCTATAATGCTAACCATCCTAGATGAGAATTAACCACCATCAAAAGCAAATAAGAAGGGGTTGGCATTAGAGGCCTGTAAACTTGATTATATTTTTTATTAGTTCATTTATGTATCTTGTTATTTTGTAACTGCATGCACGCCAACCCTTCAGATGAGTTATGGAGTTATCTACAGACAACTTTTAGAAAAAATATGCCCAGTGCCTTGGCACATGCACCACATCAGTGACCACAACAAAAGGGGTATTCATTATAAATAGAACATCAAAAATTTTGCAGTTGGAATTTGAAAATTAAATCACTTCAGAACAACAAGCTTAAAATATATTTACAGTATGGAGTCACAAGAATGCAAATGCAACTATCCCTGTGCACTAAACATGGAGTCAAGTCTTGTTTCATCTATTGATTTTCAGATCCATAATCACAACAGAAGTCGATCCGACAAATGACTGTAGATCCAACATATACGATATGAATATACATCACCAATGTGAACTTAATTACATAAATGCATTTGATCAAATCGCTACCAAAGCTTTTTATCTTAATTATGTTGTATTTATACATGGAGGACACAAACACAACATGTTGATGCAGTGAGTTCTTAACACAGGAGATAAAGATATATGTGTGAGTATGTAAACACTTTTAAGTCTGTCTCTGTATGTATGTGTGTATATTATATGTATATGGACCAAAAACATAACATGATTCCTCTCTTTTCATCTCCACTCCTTCACAAGGACCATATATCTTATGTATAAAGATGGACAGATATTTAATAACCTTCATATGTCTCATGTCAGTCACACTTTAGGTAATCAATAATTCAAAGATAAAAATACTAATCTTATTAGTAGATTTCTTTTGCATAATTGTGAATTTTATTCTTAAATGTGGACATATCCAAAATAAACAGCATGCATGTTCAAGTGTAGAGAAGATTCATGTCTAACAAAGACCTTTTAAGAAGAAAGAAGCGTTTAATGCATGACATGAAACAATGAGAATATTATTACAGTGAAAATAATGAAAAAAGTGAACTTTCAGACGTACCTATTGGTTTCTGAGACTGATAATCCCCACAGAGCGCCAGCCGCTCTCTCCTGAAGACCTGGGGAAGCATTTGTAGAGGAATGCGCAAGAGCAACCTATATAACCAATAATAACAAATCTTCATATATTAAGATCATTTAGCCTCCATGAAATAATATTATAAATAAGCAAAAATAGAAATATGGCTATTGTAACTCAAATGTAAGAGCACTCAGGAAACCTATTTCATATATATTGACACCAGTCTACGACTCTATGATAAAGATGTTTGAGATAATCCTTGTCGAAAGGTGTCCAAGTAAATCTTTAAGAGTACTCTATTAATTCATGTATATTTTCACCATTCTGGCATTATTAGTAGCTGGGGAGGTATAAAAAAATTTAGAGGGACTCTTTGTGGGGGTAATATAGGGAGGAGTTCAAATGCCATCTCATGGCTTGGAACTGTGAGCTACCTTTGCATCAACGGTGTCTTGGGGTTAGAATTTCAAACTATTCAATCAAGCAGTTAAACAAGTAGATGGAGAAATTTTTATTTTTTTTGATAAGTTAAGTAGATGGAGAATATGCAGTGGCATATAAATGTATGTGGAGAAACATAAAATGGGAATGGAAATAGCGGTTGACATCAGGGCTTCACTTCATCTAATATATGAATAGTCAATTAAACAAATGTGTTTATGACTCCCTGTAAGCCAATACAGTCAGTAGACTATCAAGTAGATGCACATACATACAACGGCCAATAAATTGCCACCAGTTATGAAAATGATGCGCTATCTGCATTAAGGAGTGGTTCTACATCGATAGGGCTGTAAATGAATCAATCTTTCAACAAACTGCTTGAGCTCAGTTCGTGTTCGTTTGTTTAATAAACGAACCAAGCTCAAACAGGAATTTCAAGCTCAATTAATAAACGAGCCAAACTCAAACAACCCTCTACTCAGCTCGTTTGTTCGTGAACATGTTTGATAAGATTTATTTATCAAAAAAAAAAAAACATGTTTGATAAGATAAGTAATATAGATATAAATATACATATTAAAATTTTAATAATAATAATGAGAACCTATACATTAATTTATACCCAACCCATTTAGTTTATATCGAAGGCCCGTTTAAATAGAAATAAAATTAAACTTAAGTCTTAGCCCAATTGAGGCCCATAAACAAATAAACTCCTAAGCCCATATATATATATATATGCGTGTGTGTGTGTGTGTGTATGTATGCCTAACCCTAATCTAACCTCCTCATCTATTTTTCCTTCACATTGCCACACAGTAACTGAAGAAAGCTCTGAAAGCGTCTCTCTTCATCTACAGTGTGTCTCTCTCTCTCTTCAGCGACTGCCATCAAAAGCTAATTTTAGCTTCTACCAACTTCTATCTCTCTCACACATATGTATACAATGATCGACAGCTAATTTTATTTGGAAAATATATTTAATAATTTCTTTCTTTTTTTTTTAATACATTTGTGTAATATATATATATATATATATATATATATATATAGGGGTGGCAATTGGGTAGGTTTGGGAGGGGCTGGTCATGAATGGGCAAGATTCATAGTGGGTCATAAACGGGTTGGGTGTTTAAATGGGTGAATCAATTCACACCCAACCCAATCACCCGAATATTTTTAGACACAAATTGTTAAGTTATTTTGGTTGTTGAATACTGAAAAAAAAATCTGTTACATCAATTTTTTGGTTTCAAACATTACAAATTTTTTATTATAAATAATCTATTGTAATTTTACCTCTTTCCAACGCATACATATATAATACTGTACATACATAAACACACAACTATGTTTGCATTTAGTTTTTTTATTTTTGACAGTGAAGTATATTTGTGTGTATAGATATATACACACTCTTGTATCAATATGATAATATGTTGTCTGAATTTGGACAAAGATATTAATTTGTACGGCTACTAAACATATTAATAAAATGAATTGGAGTATTAAGCTGCTTGAATAAAAAAATAAAAAAACAACTTAAGGAAATAAAAAAATTAGATCCATATGGTATATATATATACCATATATATATATATGGTATATACATATGGTATATATATATACTATTCAGACGGAGTCGAGAATGGAGGAGAGTGAGAAACGGATGAGAGAGAAAAAAGGGGGAAGAGAAAGGAAAACAGAGGGGAGAGAGAGAAACAGAGGAGAGAGAAAATGGGGAAGAGAAGAGAAAACAGAGAGAAAGAAAGGGAAGAGAGAAAAATGGGGGAGAGAGAGAATACTAGGAGAGAGAAAAAAGGGTTTTGTTTGAGTGAGTTAAAATGGGTACCCATTCTTAACCCGTCATTGACCCATCCATTATAATGGGTACCCATTAATAACCCACTCATTTTATATTAATTACCCATTGATTTAATTTTAGTGGGCAGGTTTGTGCGATTTAATGGGTTTGGGTATAAATTGCCACCCCTATATATATGTATGATAATTTGAATTTCTCTCTGAATCTCTCTTAACTTGTATTCCTTCTGAACCTGGACTCCAATATACGTGTGTTTGTGTATATATGTGTGTATGTACGATATGAATTGTGTGATACTCGAGCTCGGCTCGATTGGTCGTGAACTTTGTTCGAGCCGAGTTCGAACACTGAGGTATGAGCTCGAGCTCAAACACACTCCTGTGAAAGCCGAGCCGAGCTCAAACAGCCTACTACTTGGCTCGACTTGGCTCATTTACAGCCCTATACATAGAATGACATATCAGTGTCGGGACTGAACAAAGTTAAGTATGAACTCCTGGTCAGAAAAGTGGTCTGTCATAATAGACTCGTAGACCCATGCTACAATGATAAAAATGATATCGGAAGTTTTGTAGGTTTATAATTAAGCTTCTTATGTAGAATTCTAGTCTTATGGTATATATATTTTTTTTCCTGTTGTCTTATGGTTTGTGCATATTAGACTTTTGTAACTTTTATTGAAGATTTTACAAAGGAGACTGCCTTAAGTCTTATTTTAGAAGTTATTTCATGTATGCTATACTTGTTTTGGGTCAGACTTTGTATAATAGGTTGGAAGTCTCTTCAAGCGTCTAGGGTCAGGAAACAACCCCCCCCCCCCCCACGCGACCCACACACACACGCACGCAAATATAGCCTTGGAATACAATATCACACCCCCTCTTGAAAACCTTTTTCTTTCTTCTCTTTATCTTTCACTTTCCGTCCCCATTCTCTCATCTCCTTTCTATTTCTCGCTTCTTATTTTGGAATGCCCTCCCAAAATTATATTAGTTTAGGAATTTTGGGCATTAGAGCAAGTTCTAATCTTTCGGATTCCTAAAATTATTAATGCTACAAGAAGTTCCAATACGTGTTAAAAAATTGTCAGAAACAATGATAAGTCATTTAAACATTAAACGGTTACATATATAAAAATCACATGAAACAGTGCCAGAAGGACATTGGTAAGGTGGTCAGAAAAAGATAGAACCATTCAATGTGTGAACGAATGATGAGCACAGACACATGCAAATTATTCTCGATGATAGTTTTTCTAAAAGGTAAAAAATAAGTAAAACTACTTGAACCAGACGTTCAAGCTAGTGACCCGTATGGCATAAGCAAGAGATATGGAACTTCCAATTCAAACTACGGAGACGGAATTTCTCAGTAAAGCTCAGAATTTGACAACTGAACAATTTCATCCACACTACTCACCAGCTTCAACAAACAAAAGCTCATTGCCCACCTCCATACCAGTGAAAAATATAGAGTAGCACGTAGCTCATGCACTCTTGCTTTATGTTATGTATAATTTGAACAGAATATGGTATTGCCATCTAACACTGACCATTGTATTTAGTGCCAGTAAGATTCTATTGTCGTAAAGGCTAGGCTTTACAAAGTTTACAAGTTGTTGGCACCAAACAACCACTCAATTGTTACCAGAAATGCTTCTTGAATCAATGCAAAATTTTGAACATGCAATCTCAACAATTGTCAACATCTTTGTGATACCAGTATAAAAATCATACTATGAAGTACTTCCTCATGCAGCCCTTCCAATTCTAGGAAGTTGTGTTGTCACTACCTAAGAATATAAGGTATGAAAAGATATGGCCTCTAAAGGAGAATATCATACCAAGGCTTCAACACCACCAGCTGCTGCAATTGCTTCTCGATTTCTATCATCAAATGATAAATTCCATAATGCACCAGCAGCTTCTTGCCTGTTTTGAGGAAAAGGCACATGTACCGATCAGATAATACCAATTTTAATAACAGTTATCTGGCTTGCAAGAGATGGTCTATAGAGTTTTTACATTTGCTGAAGGATGCCAAACTATATAACTTGCCATAACATGGACAGAAAGATAATTGATATCGATAGATTCTGGTCATGATTTTATTTTTAACCATGAGATGGAATCCATAGAGGAATGAGGGCAAGAGATCAAGATGGAACTTAATTTATTCAAGCACATAAATTTTATATCCACCAAAATTGCATGTATATCTTTATATATTCCCATATTAAAGTAACTAAGAGAATTACAGATTTGCAAGAAAAGAATAATGATGTCACTTAACAATAACAAATATGGGAAAATGTATCAGTTTGATAACGACGTTTAAAACTACCCAATTCATGCTAATGTAATTAAAGCCTGTACGTTTGTTTCCTTAAAGGTGCAACATAAAAGGAGAATGCGATAAATCTAGGGCTTTTTGGGTACAACAAAAATTTCTTACCAGAAAAAGAAACATAATCCAACACTACTTAAGATAGAGGCAACCTTCACCTGTGTTTTTCAGTAAAATATTTATGGACTTATTAATGCAGAATGTGGCATAAATTTGAAAAAAAATCCTATGAAATGACTTTTATTATCAACCGGTACTCTTGGCACATGGTGCATTTATTACACTAGCGTTGGTCCCATAAATACAGCGTGTTGGGAGGATTGGACCGGATTAATGAGGCAACAAATAAACACTATAATCGGTGAAGTAATTACTTAAAATTAAAGAAGTGAAGGAAACGGACAACCAATAAATTTTTCACTAGATAGGGCATCTTAACAAAGAGAATATTTGAAAAAGAAAAGTATATTAGTAATCAAGAACCAGGCTCATCTTACAAACATAGTAAGAGCAAAAGTTTATCTTTTGTCTGTATTCTTATTTCTTTTTTGGTGAGGGTCGTGTCGGTCTGGAAACAGCTTGAACAAAAATGCTATTAAATAGAAGACTAAACCATATTTAGTAGAAGGGTAATGATACACAAACCAAAAACTTGAACTGAAACTCTTTGCAAACTGATATGGCTCATCATTTATATATTTTCATTCTAGAGAACAATGATTGCCACCGTGGCACTGTCCGTTATTTTCAGAAGTGTACAGGCCATTTCAGTCATACGGTGTACTTCCTGTTCAGTCCTTATGGAAAGCATTTCACCAAATAATGTTCACAAATGAAAGCATGCAAGGGAACCTAAAAGCACTGAAATGAATTATCAAAATCTTAGATGCATATTAAATACCTGACACCTTCATGGGAAGAACTGGTAAGTTGCACAAGTGCTTCAAGAGCACCTGCCTCTTGTCCAACAGCAGCATTATTATTGTTGCTATCTCCATGGGCAGCCAAATTAGCTAAGGCACGAGCAGCCTGGACAATTATTGGAAGGGCATTATAATAAAATCACTGGATATAAACAAATGCCACATGAGGGTCCTTGTATGGAGCAAACTTCCAAACGAGACATAGATTTGATTTTAATGGAAATGTATTGAGATCCAAGCCATTGAACTCTTTCACACTATAAGAGCAAGCTACATGTGGATTATAGGGTACATTAAATGAGGAAGCAACTTGCAAGTAAACTTCAAACCCCATAAATTTTCTGAATCAAATTTTCTTTGTAAGAGGGTTTCCCATACAAACAAAAGTTGGCAGCTTTTAATAGAGGAGCTCACACCATCAAACAATATGACTTCCATAACGAGACTGTCAATACCAAAACAAAAGAAAAAAGAAACATCACAATCAGATTATTTTTAACCGTAAGGCTGGAGTATTTAAACCCATAATCTTCTCAAGATATTCCAACCTGACCGAGTTCACAAGCTAAACTTAGATGGCCCACAACATCTAGACACCCTAAATTCCTAAACTTTAAGCATTCATCTAAGTTGAATTCCAACCTTTCAGTTTTAAACCACATAAAATACAAAAACAGAGCTTATAGATATCCACATCAAATGTTAATTTCATATTTGAAGTTACTGCTACCTGCTCTTGCACTCCCTCACACTTGCACTTCCGCGCGAGCATCACCAAAGCATGTACGCCACCTACCAACGCAACCTCCAAGCTACATTTGTCGTCAGCCGCCAAATTTGCTAGTGCGCCAGCCGCACGTTCCTGAAAACAACCAAACAAAAATCAATCCGTAACTTACCAAACAACTCTGACTCAGTTTGTACTTATATATAAAAGAAAACAAAATACAAAGAAAATATAAGGCATTGCATGGAAGTCTGCATGTGTGCACGAACTCATGGAAGTGTATGCATGATAAAAGCAGCACGTACCAGAACTCCGTCACCACCGACAGACCATTTGAAAATAAGATCAACTAAAGCTTTAACACCACCAGCATCAGCAATGGCACCCTGAAAAGGAAACTTCGCTTTATTACGGTCTAAAAGTGAGCATATGATGATCAAAAGAAACTACAAAGTAAACAACCTTGTGCTCTTCTCCAACAGAGAGATTCCATAGTCCCCCGGCTGCCTCTTCAGCAACCAACCTGTTCATAGACTTCGCCAAATTTGCAAGAATACTGATGCCACCTTCTTCCGCAACAGCTTTTGCAACATTGGCATTCACAGACAAGTTTGCTATAGCCTACGCATTCCATAAAATTGAAACGAAACAAATTTATGCCAAAACAAGTGACAAATCTTAAATAGAAAGTTAAAACTGGTGTCTAAATGGGGAAACAGTTAGATGATAATAATGTGTGCTTGAGGCGCATTGTATTGTATCAAGTGGGTCTCGTCAAAATGTAGCTAAACCAATTCAAATCGATAGGGTTGGACCAAAACCATCTAAAATAAATGACAAGATTGATCGAAATGAGGATAGAATCATTATCATTACACTTCCCAATAGTTCTTACCTTTGCTGCTTCTGACTGAAGCCCCTCCCGCCAAGATCTTGCAAGATTTAGAAGAAGACGTATGCCACCATCCCTCATTACTGCTTCAGCCCGTCCAACATCAATGCTAGCATTTTCATCATCAATGACAACAAAAGTTGCAAGTCCAGTGGCTGCCTTTTCTTGAACATCCTCTTGTGAGCTCTGCATTAAACTGAGCAACAATGCTGCACCTTGACTAAGCCAGAAACTATCCAAACCTTGTGGATTGCTCTCAGCAATACGTAGTAGTGAATGGGAAAGGATCCATTCAAGCCAAATCATAATCTCATCCAAGTTCTTATCCTCGTTCTTTGAATTCCTCCAATCCGAGAATACATTTCTCTCTTTCATCGTAATACCGCCAAATCGAGAAGACACTCCTTTGAAAATGTCACTAAAAAGGGTGAGTAGTAATTTAGCTTTATAACTACTGGTAGGAACAAAAGAATCTTCCTTGATAGCTGGACAATTCAAGGCACACAAGACCTTCAAGCTTTGTGAGGATGAAAATAATCTTGATAGTGCAGATGGAATAATATCAGTTCTTGAAACATCTAACCCTGTCAAGTTATGGAGCTTACTCCAATACTGCGAAACCAAACCCCACTTCATATTTGTTGTCCCCGCAACCGAGAGGAAACGAACTGATAGAACATTCCCTAATGCCATCTCATCGACGTTAAGACAGTCTATGAATCCAATTTCAGTCAAACTTTGACAATGCTTAGCCAAAGAGTTAATGGCATTTCCATCAAGATCCCGAATTCCCGAAAGCCGAAGTTTCCGAAGTTTAGGACAGCAAATGCCAATTGCTTTGATTGCATCACTGCTAATCCTTTCACAGAAATCTGGCCCAAGTTGGAGGCTCTCAAGCGCCTCATGTCGAGCCACAATCACAGAAAGTGTAGCATCAGAAATTTTCCTGCAAAAATCACCGCTAATTTCGCGCAACCCCCTAGCTTGAAGATTTATTATTGCATCGGCAGATTCTGCTCCACGAAATCGCAACTTCTGAAGGTCCCGACATCGGGAGGCAAGCGAAGCTGCTATGGAAGCATCACATTTGTGGGCACGAAGATCCAATGAGTGCCACAAACACTGAGAACTACCCAGAGTCCTCCATGTCTGACAGGTTGATGACAAGCTAGCCCGGTCACGATAATTCAGGCACGAAAACAGTTGAATCACAGTATCATCAGGCAATTTTGTCCAGTCCACTACATCTTTCTGATCCAAACTCAATCCCTCGTCATCTATTTCGGTGTAACTTGGCAAAACCTCCACCTCCTTCCCCCTCTTTGCCACTTTTCTACGTACCCTCCGACTCATGTCTCAAACAGTCCAACACAGCCAGAAACTAAACCTGAATTCTTAAGAGAGTAACCAGGCTTGAAACCAACTCTATACCTCCAAGACCCGAATCCCAAAACCAGTAAAAGAACAGATACAAACCTATGAAACCCTTTAACCTCAAAACCTCATATCTTCAACACAGCAAGGAAGTCACACATATTCAGAAACTGATACTCCTTAACCAAAAAGATCCAAAATTTATAACAATAAATGGATCACAAAACCCATAAACAAATTCTCTTTGGCCACAAGTAGTAAAATTTACAAAGCAGTGATGAATCACGTCCTGACCCAGAAACCACTACCCGAAAATCATAAAAACCCAATTTCTAAAATCACTGAAGGAACACACCAGACCCACAAATGAATGCCCTTTAACCCCAAAACCACTAATCATCAAAACCCAGTAAGAATTTGTTGAACACATACCAGACTATATATATGCACCACATAGAATGAAAGGATTCATATTACACAAAAATCCAAACCACCGATGAGAAAACCATCAATCATGAATGCATTACAGTGAATAAAGCAATTGATTTTCTCAAACCTGAGTTCTTAAGCCTTGTTGGTTTGTAGGTAAATCCTTATAAAACTTCTAGACTGCAACAAACCTATTGCCTTGTGCAGGATTTCCTGAAGGAGCTCCAACAGAGCTTTATTGTAGAGAGAGAAAAAGACAAAGCTGATTACGGGTCGGAGAGAATTCAGGCACGTATCAAATAGGCGAGAAAGCCAAACCCAAAGCCAAAGCCAAGCCAAGCCCTCAATGCACTTGTCTAACCCGCGCGCTCTCTCCCTCCTCTCTCTCTCCCTCCTCTCTCTCTCCTCCCTCTCTCCAGTTTTCTTTTCTCGATGCTTACCAAATGTAAGAATTCTAACAATTTACACACAGATAGATTTGTGGGGTTAGGGGTTAAATGGGAGAGGGAAATTATATAGCTTTGCGGTATGGTTTGATAAAATGGTGTAAAGACTACTCTCATCAAGAGCATATAAAATCACCCCACCCCACCTCTGTAATAGAGAATGTTTTCGAATGATAACAATTTTAATATGTGTCCAATTTTAGATCTTTTGAAACATTGCTATTTCATTGCATTACTCAATATGTATGTCTGTATATGTATCGAACTCTATCTAATGTGTGTTCGGTTACACCAAATAACACCCCCACAGCATAAGAGGAATCGAAGAAAATAAAAAGAAAAAATAGTGAGTTGCAGAATAATGTAGAATAATGTGTATCAAGTGGCCTTCATAAAAATCATTAAACTTAGAGATTATTTTTCCTTTGGAGATTGGGTTAATATATTAATTGTTATGTGTAATAATAATATTTTATTTTTTTCTAATACCAGCTTTTCTTTTATTCACTTTTAATGGTGAAGTCAGAATATTTTTGAGTCGAAACCTAGTGAACTCAAATAAACATTCTCGTATGAAAAAAAATAAATAAATAAAAAGAAAAAGAAGTATTGAATTACTTGTTTGTTTACATTGCCCATTTTTATACAAGTCTTACAAAATATACAACTTGATTGACTTGAAGACATACATAACTAAATATAGTATAAAACCACCAATCTTGCAAATGTTTGTGTGGCAATGTTAATGTGTAGTCTTGGAGTGGCATACCCTCCTTCCAAACCCTAAAGAGGAAAAAGGTCAAACTCAATATAATTATGTTTGTATTATCACATTATTGAAACAAGGAAATATGGAAAAAAAACCATATAAATGTTTGCATTCAAGAGGTTAAATAACATGTTCATATACAATGTCGGGAATGTAAGTATTGAGTGGCTAACAAAGTTGTTTGACGGCATTTTAAAATAAAGTACGGTGCCAAATGAGTGAGTGAAAAACTTAATAGCATCATTTTTAAAAAAATTAAGAAAATATACAAAATTGTGGGGATTATAATGAGTTAAATTAAAGAGTAAAGTATTGGAAAAAATAATAGAACAAAGACCAATGAAGAATCCACAGTATGTGAAAACCAATTCAAATTCATGTTAGGGAGATCAACCATGGAAACTATATATTTAGTTAGTTAGGGGTAAGCAAATAGACATATACATATGTATATTTTCATTGACTTATAATTTGGTGGACTCTACAAAGAAAATAAAATTCCATGCAAATAATGAAGAGTATTCAAGATGTTAACATGAACACAAAAAGTAGATTTCTTAGGTGAAACTAGTGAGACTTTTTATAAATGTAGATTACACAAGGGAAAGGTGTTAAGTCCATTATTAGATATTTGCAATACCTTTTAATGAAATACCAAAAGATTTCCAAGAAGATATCCCATGGTATGTGATATTTGTCGATGTATTGTGTTAGTAGATACTTCTAAAGAAAATTCAATAATAAAAGTAAAAATATGGAGAAATACTTTATAATCAAAATGATCGAAAATTAGTCGAACTAAAATAAAATATATGGAATGTAAATTTAATGAAGACTTGATTTATTATAATATAAGGATAACACTTGATAATCGGAAGATTATTCAAAATAATTACTTTTGCTATTTAGGATCAATAATACAAAATGATGGAGAAAGAAATGGCGATATAACTTGTATAATTTGGTCGGGGTGGATAAAATGAAAACAAACTAGTTGCATTTTATATGATAAAAGAATAAGACAATAGTTAAAAGAAAATTTCTATAGAATCGTTATTAGGCCAACTATGTTTTATAGGGAGAGAGTGTTAAGCTTTAAAAAATAAATAAGAATAGCGCTTTATATGTTGGTGGTTGGAATAAGTTTAGTTGGTTTGGGCACATACACCATAGATCTGTTAGCTTTTTTGAATAAAATATAATTTTTTTTAAAACTTCTTATTATTTAAGAGGTGTGACGCCTTATGACTAGTTGTGTCGATTGGCTAAGGGTGTGGAAATAGCCTATAAATATATAGTTATTCTTACATATTAAATATGTTCTTACTTCTCTTATTAAGTTTCTTTTCTAAAAACTCATTCCTTCATTCTTCAACCAAATACTATATTACATATATTCAATTATATATCTGAGTTTATGGGCAATATGACACAAAGACTTGGTGATTCGTCTCTTTGTGAACGTGCTTATAGAGAACACTGGAGATGTATCTTAGAGCCTTTTATAGTCGTCACAACCTGCACGTAAGGAGGCTGTAAAGGCTTTAGGACAGCGCATACTGCGTGTCTCTCCATTAAATAGGCCAGAATTAAGTTTCTTTACTCCTCTTATTAATTTTGTATATTTTACTGGCCTATTATTTCAGTATATTGTTTTATTTATACTATATATATTGTGTTATGATTATATTGTGATATGAATATATAAGTGTAGCATTTTAATATGATCACTTGAATAGATTTAAAATTAAGAATGTATAAAAATATCCAAAATCCCCAACACTCTAAAGCCTTTAACTCGTGTATCCTGTGATTATTAGTGCTTTATATATGAAGCATTATCAATGTTTCATTTTCTTTCTTTTGTATAATAGTTTATATTCTGAAAGTTTGCTCACAAAGAAACTGTTTAATTCATTCTTTTAATATATACACTTTTTAGAATTTTAAGTGGAAAAGAACACTGTATTCTTATTATAGTTTTGAATTCTGTGGTTAATTGATAAGGGTATTATGATAGTTTTCTTTTTTAACGGTTGAGTTTATATATTCTTAAAACGTTTGGGTAAAATTCCAAAACTGTTGAATACTGTATTTAAGTATCGTTTCTCCATCAGATATTTTGTATGGGATCAAGTTTAGAACAACGAACTTTTTAATTATAATAGTAGAATACTTTGTAAGTGACAATTCATGATGCGTGCAACAGGTAATTCATTTATAGAGTCATGCGATTGTAATTACCAATCCCATTAATGATTGATAAGAAATATAAAGTGTTTTATTTTAAAATCCCAGTAGACATAAAATATGGAAACTCGCATTCTTTGAAAGACTCGTATAAACGTTTTATTGTGAATCCAAAATTGTTCAAGAAGAAAGTTTATTATGGTTGAATAAAAATAATGAAAAGTCGTGTCTCTTCAAGAAGAGATATTCAAGTAAACAACTTTTCATTCTCAATCATATCATAATTGGAAGTCTTTACAATGTGATACAAATATGCATAAATTCTAAATTTTGTCTTGTTATGAATTGAAAACAGTGGAGAGTGACCTATTTTTTTTTCAAAAAAAAAAAAATAGAAAAAAAAATGTTAATTTTCTTTTTTTTTTAAAAAAATTCGTTTTGATTTCAGATAGACAAAGAGTTGTGTTTTAGAAAAGTCATGTCTTTTGAATTTTGGATCCTAAAAAAATTTATTACCGTTAGAAAATAATTTACTGAAGCATTACTGTAACTATTATTTACTTATTTTGTTAAAATACATTCTCTAACTATAAGCAACGTCTGTTTAGCCGTATGTAAGAGTGAGTAAGAGTAATTCAATTTTTGTGAAATAGTTTCATTTGGAGAGAAAACTTTTATTTTTAAGATTTAAAAAAAAAAAAAAAGAAAAAAAAAAAGAAAAGAAAAGAAGATGGAAAATTCTATTTGAGATGAATTGCTTTCATCATCCACTCTATTTTGACCGTATTTGAAATACACGCAGTTGTATTTGCAACTATTAGGTCTAAATTTAAAATAAATAAATTAATGAGTAGGATATTTATATTGGGATTTATATGCCCTGGTATAGCAAATTCCTATTTGGATTAAAGTGACATATGTTCCTGATATTTCTGAAATATTTATGCTTTATACAATTAGTGAATTCAATGTATTATGTTTCGATTCATTATAGAATTGATAGTGTCCACTTGATTACAAGAGATATTTATATATGTATGTGATGGCGATCAATACATGAATATAAATAGTAATCATAAATTGTTCATAGTCGGTAATTATGGATGGACTTATAATTAATTAAGACTTGAACTGGATCCGCGTTAGGTTGAGATATATTGCGAGAGCCGTCGTATACAATTGCTCCCTATCACTGTCATGGCATTTGACCCTTAAGCATGAAAAAAGTATAAACTCTTTTATTAATTAATAATTACTTTGATTTGTTCGGCGGATACTTCGGGATCCTTAGACCGACACTTTAGGTAATTATGTAATTAATAGTTAGAGGGTTATATTTTCAATATTTGCATCATTGCTACTTGTATTTATTTTGTATTGATTATTGTTGATCACAAAGTAAATTCGAATGCCTTCGTGTGTTTTTAGACAAAATAATTTATTATATATTTATTTATTTAAATTATTATTTTTGTCAAACAAATATTTTATTATGATCGAGTCAGAAATAATCAATGGTATCAAAATAAATATATTAATTAAGTAGTCGGATTGATGGCTTTATTTATCCGATAACTAATTATGCACAAAGGGGTCAAAGTGCAACATTGACTTAGAGGTTATTTATTATTTAATTGGAGTTCAATTAATTTCTTTTAGTGGAGTAGAAATTAATTTATGAATTAAATGAATTTGGTCTATGGACCTGGCCAATTATTAATTCATTGTAATCAATAAAATAATAAGCCAAAAGATTCTCACTCATAGCCCAACTTGATATTGGAATTCTGTTAGATCTGAGACATGTGAATTAGAGATTGAGAAGGATTTATTGTTTCATTTTCTTTATCTTTATGTTGCCTATAAATATACATGGTTTATGTATATTTTAGGGGTGATTTTTGGGAGAAGGAAAAAGGAATATATTTTCTCTCTCTAGAAAATTAAGGTTAGTGTTCTCATCTAATGGAGGCTCCCACGAGCCTAGTTTTCCAAGGTCATTCATGGAGGCTTATGAGTGATTCCTAAAGACAAAACAATTACCAAGAAGATGGAGATCCAAAGAGAATGTATCTTGTTAAGGGATCTACAATAAGTTAGAACATTCACTTTAGAGGAAAGATTTAAAGGTTTATTCGGACTTTGATGTAAGTATTCAATCTATAAATTGAATGATACATCATATTTTATTTTTGCATAAAACTTGTCTCT